TCTACAAACTATCGTTATACAATTACTTTCCTAATTAAACTAACTTGCCTAATTAACCTAGTTGAGCCTTTAAATGTCACTTTAAGCTGAATACCAGTATCTTGAAAAATGTATTCATTCATTCATTTTCATCTGCTTTTTTTAGGCCGGGTAGTGGGGTCAGCAGTCTTAGGACAGAACCCAAGACTTCCCTCTCCTGAGACACTTCCTCCAGCTCCTCTGTAGGGATCCCGAGGCGTTCCCAGGCCAGCCAAGAGACATAGTCCCTCCAGTGGCTCCTGGGTTTTCCCCAAGGCCTGCTCAAGGTAAACCGTGCCTGAAACACCTCCCTATAGGTAGGCATCTAGGAGGCATCCGAAAAAGATGCCTAAGCCACCACAGCTGACTTCTCTCAATGTGGAGGAGCAGCGGCTCTACTCTGAGCTTGTCCCAGATGACAGAGTTCCTCACCCTATCTATAAGGGTGCGCCCTGCCAACTCATTTTGATCGCTTGTATCTAAGATCTTGTCCTTTTGGTCATGCCCAAAGCTCATGCACATAGGTGAGAGTGGGAACGTAGATTGACCAGTAAATCAAAAACTTTGCATTTTAGGTCAGGTACATCGACCGCATTACTGCTGCCGCTGCACCAATCCCTCTCAATGACGCCTGTCAATCTTATGTTCCATCCTTTCCTCATTTGTGAACAAATCCCTAAGATACTTAAACTCCTCCACTTGGGGCAAGGACTTTCCTCCAACCTGGAGATGAAAAACCACCTTTTTCTGGTGAAGCACCATGGCCTCGCACTTGGAGGTGCGTATTCTCATCCCAGCCAAATCACACTCGACAGCAAACCGTCCAAATGCATGCTGAAGGTCCATGTTCGAGGAAGCCAACAGAACAACATTGTATGCAAACAAGAGACATGAAATCCTGACTCCATACTCCCAGAGCACCCTCCACAGAATACCACCAGGAACATGGTCCAATGCCTTCTCCAAGTCCACAAAAATCTTTTAAATATCTAGTCAAATATTATGTACTGTCATCATGGCAAAGATAAAATAAATCAGTGATTAGAAATGAGTTATTGAAACTGTTGTGTTTAGAAATGTGTCGAAAAATCTTCTTTCAGTTAATCAAAAATTGGGGAAATAAAATATAAAGGTGGGCTTATAATTCTAACTTCATTTGTATCAGGTATGTGCACAGATAGGGCTCAACCTGTGCAGTGCACATACCCTTTTTTCTCTTGGATAAAAAGTGCCCTTCAAAAATGAACTAAAGTGCACCTTGGTCTTCAGTTTGCGACCGTCAACCAGTTTGAAGTTGTAAGTACGTTCGATTTTTTCGCTCACTATCCCTTTAACTGTCCCTGTTATTGTGCTCTCACAAATATGCTATCATGTATTAAACAATCAGTAAAAACAACACCTCACATCCAGGTCAGCAACAGATAGAGAAACACAGTTGGTGATCTGGGGTTTTCTTCTTAGGGAGTGTGTTTCATTCTCGTTTCATGTGCCGAAGTGCAACACTGACACTTGGACTCTATGAAAGCAAACAGAAGTTAATCTATTGTGATTTCAAAGAGGTTGTCATTGGAGATGCTCATATTTTTAAACATCTCATTATTACATCAGATTCTTGGAACTTCTAACAGAGTTTCGCAACTATATTGAGGGGCTTAATTACGCCAGTTGCAATTTATCTTTCCCTTGTTATTTAAAAATAATAAGTACACTGTAAAAAAAGTTCGTAATTTTGCGGTTTATTTCCGGAAGCTGGGGTGGCTGGAAAAAAAAATAAAT